GTGGTCCTGGGGTGTCGGTTGGTGGGTGGGCTGCCAGTGCACATTGCCGGCTCGTCTTCAGCTTCTCATCCCCCAACACCCCCCAGTCCTTCTCCCCAGGGCTGCTCTCCAGCCATTCTCCTCCTGGATTTTGCTCTCGATGCCCTTCCCGATGCCCAGTGCACGCTCCCCACAGCCTTGACTACACCCACCCCTTCCTGTGCCGATGCCTCTTCGTTTCCCATGAAGACGAGCGTTTTTTTTTAAAGATTGCTGAAACCTGGATCTTTTCCCTTAACATGTTATTTAGCTCAGTCACGTCTCCCCAGGTCTGGCAGAGGCGGAATTTCCAGCGAGCCAAAAGCACCCGGTTCCACGCAGAGATCTGAAACCCCGTGATTTATCCTGGAGAGCATCCTACAAGCAGCCCAGAGGCACCGCACAGGGCAACTACTTCTATTATGGGTGTGATTTAGTCCTGTTGGGCGTAACATTGTCTAAATAATTCAAAAAGTCCAAAATGCAGGACAGCAGACCCCAGGCAAGGCTGTTTGCCCCCCTGACACCAGGCGCTGCTCCCACCAGGACTCTGACCACGCGCTGCAAACCTCTGGGATTTCGGAATATGGAGGAAAATTGGGCAGGAAATCTGCCGCTAGGCATCTGGGGGAGAGAAGTGCTCCAAACATCTGCAGGAACAGGGGTTTTAGGGGACGGGGGAGAAGGGAAGCGGTGCAGAACAGCCAGGGACGGGGCGTTGGGAGGAGCCGCTGCAGCGCCGTGCTCGGAACACAAGCCCTCGGTTCTGCAGGGGATCAGGAGTCGCTCTGGGTGTCCGCATTCTCCTGTGAAGGTTTCTAAGACCCCTTTTTGGTCACTAAGCAATAATTTATAAAGTGAGGAATGTCCTCTGGGTCCGTGGCCCGAGCTGGGGTCGTGGCTGGGGGGCAGAGGGTTGGTAGGAACGACCTCTCCCAGCAATACGCTGCTTCTCCATCCCCTCCGCTGGACCCCAGCAGGAGCTTCCAAACCCTCCAGGATAATTTCCAAGAAGGTGCAAAAGGTGGTCTTGTTCTAATATTCCCTGAGACCCAGGAATATCTGAAATGGGATGAGTTTTCCGGTCGGTGGGAGTGACTGGTTAATGTTTTCTGTGTCTACAGCTCAGTGGGAGGTGATGGTGTTACAGCCACACAGTGCGGGTCGGGGGGAACACCGGTACTCACCCTGGCAGCATCCCTCCCGAAGGCCTCTGAGAAACAACAGAGCGCGTCAGTCACCCTGAGAGCTTAACAAATGTCACGTGGGAGGGGAAGGGGAAGGATGAGACCCTGCCTCCTCCGAAAGCCAGGAGCAGGGCGGGTGCAGGGGCTCGGGGTTACACCAGGAGGGCTCCCCATCCTCATCTAATGGCCCAAAATCCCTGAATTTCTGTGTGGGTGGATATGGACACCCCAATGCATGTCCGGAAACGGAGGTCAGGGGCTCTGGGGAGGGGGAATGATGCTGGATTACGAAAGCAAAGCTGGTCCCAGGCGCCTGTGCTGTCCAGGCTGTTGGTGTTCCCGGCAGGACGGAGATTTGCCGTTTGCTGACTGTTTGCACACCGAGGCTGCGCTGCCCTGTGGCACCTGATGGCCCAGGACACTTGTTTCTCCCTTTCAGTGGAAACTCTACATTCTTGTCTCGCTTTCTTAGAATCACAGAATCCCAGGATGGTTTGGGTGGGAAGGGACCTTGCAGCCCGCCCAGTGCCAACCCCTGCCATGGGCAGGGACACCTCCCACTAGCCCAGGTTGCCCAAAGCCTCATCCAGCCTGGCCTTGAACCCCTCCAGGGATGGGGCATCCACAGCTGCTCTGGGCACCCTGGCCCAGGGTCTCCCCATCTTTCCTGGAGACCCCCCAGAAGATCTGCCAGAAGCTCTCCCCGGAGCCTTCTCTTCTCCAGGCTGCACACCCCCAACTCTCTCAGCCTGTCCTCGCACGTGAGCTGCTCCAGCCCTCGCACCATCCC